ACAAAGAATTCATTTTTCTTCCCTGCTATAGTCGAACTAGTTGGGGGAAAATCTGGGTACAGTATTGTAGGAATGCTAGGTTTAATCTTCGAATATTTGATCATCTGTTTTTAGTATTACAGTATAGAGGTGGTATTTGCAATTCAATCTCATGCAATTCAAATGTCCTAGTCCTGCAAATCAATGGTCAAATTATGCTGGAAGGTCAATTCTCAATTTGACCTCTGTCTGGGAATTCAACCTGTGGAGAGACATGAAACTTCAAATGCCATGTAGTAAACAGGCCATTTGACTTTGTCCTGCAATTTGACTGCATTGCAATTCAACCCTAATCCAGCAATTGATTAAGGTGAAATTGTAAAATACCACCTGAACTACACATAGTGGCCTGCTTTTGCTCCCATTTGCAAATGCCAGCACAACCAACTGCAAAACCTGGGCTCTGTGCAGCACTTCTTGGAAAGCTCTACGCCTCTATGGTATGTACGTATGCGATGAGTCTTTGAAATACTGTAGAATATCGGGCCTAGAAGATATCAATGTAAAATCTTCAATCCCTAACTCGGGATATGGAGACCTGTCACATAATTGATTATTTTTAAATATACCATTATGCAGAAAAAACTTTGCTTTCCTTACAATTGAATGTCAATATTTCATACAATTAGCAATTCTGGGACATCCTCAAATTCAATAAAAGCTTGTAGAAACAACATGGCAAAAATTTGTGAAGAACTAAGCACATAATTAAAGCCCCCTAAATCTCAAAGTTTGATCACATCTTCCAGATCTGGGATCATCAGGATAAAATGTCAAAAATGCTATTGAAGATAATCATTCAAAACACCAAACTGTATACCTGAACCTTCAAGAAAAACAAACAGGTTCACCTACAATCAACATCAAAGAAATAAAGCGACAACTTAATATGATTTTCAAATCCATTTTCCTTTATTCCTTCCACATGATATAAAAATTCATCCTGATTTCAAGTCCCTCACCCAGCCACACATTCCCGAAATATTTCAACCGAGACAAAAAACACTGCAATGCGGAAACTTTGGGCAGGGGAAAGCAAACGCCAAAAAATAGTCCTGGGGTCGCATTACGGGCGAAGTACAGTAAGTGAATCAATATTTGCAAATAGCAAGGCGCCATCTGGAGGGTAACTGATGCATTTGATGATAACCCGCGAACAAGAAGTTGAAAGAAAGCATGACAGATAGAATCCCTTTCAATTAATACAAAAAGCAGTACAAAACCTCGAACTGAAAGAAAACAAAAATCAGGCACTTCTAAGATGATACTCCAATGAACAACTATGGCAACCCAAGTCATTCGCTCCACACAGATGCACAAAGCAAAAGGGAAAAATACTCACATTGAAACTCTACCAATACAAAATGTTGCATTTAACCATAAGTGCCAAAATCTGTAATTGATTCAACCCAGTGCAGAAATGGTACTTGCACTGCGATCGAGAGGAATTCAGGGAAAATAAGGGAACTCGGAAGCCGAAACAAAATTCGGTTACAAAACGCACACACAGCCAGATGTTTTTCTTTTTTTTATCTCGCGAAGAAATCTGACATTTAAAACCTAGTTCCATCGTTCTCACCCTAAAAAAAAATTTCCAAATGGAAATGAAATAAAAATATATTCCCTGATGGCTGAGTGTGTAAGCGACTCATAGAAACAAGGAACCATAATATACTTTTTCAGACTTCAACCAAGGACTGGTCTCAGAAATTCAGTGCGTTCTACCTCGCGACTTGAAAAAAGATCAAATCCAACTACTTGACACAATTTTTCCAGGTCACGCCCTTCGGAGTAAAAAGAAATTCCTCGAGTAAATAAGACAGGGTGGAAAATGAAGCACATGAGATAAGCAGCAGGATATTTCTCACCGGGAAAATCAAACATTGCCAACTCAAAACCCTTTCCATTCGGAGACAATGTTTTTCCAGAAAAATGTTTCGTCAGACGAGAAACCAAAAGACTCAGCCAATAGTAATTGTACCATTTTGCATAATGTCCTCATCACACCCATCAGTGCAACGATTGATTTCCCATTACATAAAATCATTCATTCAAAGCTCATTCACACGGGTCAATCATTACACAGAAAACCCCCAATGAACATTTTTCCAAAAAACAATGGAGGATATTTCCAGAGGTCTTCCCCACAGCACAAAAAAGTTTTGAAATGCAGAAATGAATTGAAAAACTGCACCTGCCAATTAACCAATTTCCCGCAACACTGGAGTCTTCATAAATAAAACCAAAGGAACTTATTCAGCTAAGGAGACTGAAGATTTTCCATCAGAAAATCAATACACAGGTTTTCAATTTATGACATAGAAAAAACCCTTTTGGGTGTCCAATGTTTGTTCTTCCATGAATCATGAGTCCTAACTGTTGGATTGACGAAATGTGAAGATGTGCATTGATAAACTAGGATATATTCTTGAAACAAATGTCTTCTTTTTACAGTTAGACCTTGCTTAGTCAACCCTTCCCAGATGAAAATTGCAAATGACCCCTGTCAAATTTCCTGGAGTCCAATCCAACTTAAATCTTCTTGCCTCTATACTTCCCGAGTAAAACCTTCCCGAGTCAAATATTCAAGGCTTTTTGTTATTAAACTGAGTCTACATTTTTCAACACCTTCTCCAGAAAAAATATGCATACAGTATTAGTTTCTTCATGAATTCCACTTGGATCAAGCATTTGCGTGCAGGGTAGAAAGTTCATGAATAATGAACAGTTCTAATAATTTGGCAGAAGATAATTCCCATTCAACTTACCCAAATGAAGAAACATTCTTCAAGCACAATTTATTCTGGGAGTTCCACTTTACGATGACTTAAAGTTTTGAAATGCAGAAATGAATTGAAAAACTGCACCTGCCAATTAACCAATTTCCCGCAACACTGGAGTCTTCATAAATAAAACCAAAGGAACTTATTCAGCTAAGGAGACTGAAGATTTTCCAGCAGAAAATCAATACACATGTTTTCAATTTATGACAGAAAAAACCCTTTTGGGTGTCCAATGTTTATTTTTCCATGAATCATGAGTCCTAACTGTTGGATTGACGAGATGTGAAGATGTGCATTGATAAACTAGGATATATTCTTGAAACATTTGTCTTCTTTCTCCAGTTAGACCTTGCTTAGTCAACCCTTCCCAGATGAAAATTGCAAATGACCCCTGTCAAATTTCCTGAAGTCCAATCCAACTTAAATCTTCTTGCCTCTATACTTCTTGAGTAAAACCTTCCCGAGTCAAATGTTCAAGGCTTTTTGTTATTAAACTGAGTCTAAATTTTTAAACACCTTCTCCAGAAAAAATATGCATACAGTTTTAGTTTCTTTATGGATTCCACTTGGATCAAGCATTTGTGTGCAGGTAGAAAGTTCATGAATAATGAACAGTTCTAATAATTTGGCAGAAGATAATTCCCATTCAACTTACCCAAATGAAGAAACATTCTTCAAGCACAATTTATTCTGGGAGTTCCACTTTACGATGACTTTGTTGAATTTCATTTTTTTTTTTATTGGAATTGAACCAGAAAAATGCAAAGGCTCAACTGAATTAATCCAACAGCAGAAGCAATTTCAAATCATGCCAACTTGACAAATAGCTGACTGTTGAAGATATCTAAACAAACCATGAAAAAATTTGCATGTGGACAAAGTAGCGAAATGCTTGCAAGTGTTGCAACTCATAAAAATCTCTCCCCATTTCATCATTGGACACCCTATTGGAGCAGTAAAAAGTTATTCAAACAGTAAAAAAAAATTGAATGAATACCAAGAAGAATGAAACAACATTCAAGAATCCATGGGCAGCTTCAATCCTTAAAATCACGACAAAAAGTCAAAGCATCACCCAATTCTGCAAAGCATCCATACGCTTCCACAGTTGAGTCACTTGTCAAATAAGAAACTTAAGATAAGGGTATGCTCAACAGAGAACCTTCACAACAAAACAAAAAAATGGGATGGTGGCGAGTTCGAAAAATTAATCGAGGCATCAAAAAGGTTCCACATTCTATCACATTAGCATCAAGCGCTCCAAGCAGGAGTTTGAGAGATCTACCACCACAAAAAAAAGAGAGAATCACACTGCACTAGCGAATGAGCTCACCGCGGAATCATAAGATCCAAGCAAGTTATTTTCCATACAAAAAAATTTCAAGCCCTGACATAATTTTACCAATCAATAGCAGATCAACCTTGAATTGCATGTAAAAATGGCCAATGAACGTCAATGAGGGCTCAAGCGTCTCTAGAGCAACTACTGTACTGCAGTAGCATCATGATTATTTTTTCTTTGAACACCTCCCATATGAGCAATCAAAAATGCATGTTGAACTTGATTGCAGTTTCTGCAGCAAGACTTTGAGAACACAGAGTCTCCACAAAGAATTGGTTGACAATGTCTGCAATGCATTTCCCTTTAGAACAATTTTTTTCATGTCCCATAAGGTTCACTGCCCATGTCATAGGGGGTTCTCTGCACAATTCTCTACAATGAGTTGTTTTTATCTGGTCACCTGAATTTTGTTATGGAGAGTCCACCTGTATTTTTCTCATTGTGACATAATTGAAGTCTGAATGTATCACACAGTCAAAAGAAACATGCAAAAACAAGATAGAGCAGGGCCTGTCAGCCATTGGCACACAGGCACTGGGAAAACTAGATTTTTGTAGCACAAAAATGCTGGATTTCAGGCCAGTGGGATCTTTCTACAACAAAATTCAAGGGACCATGAAGATTCATTGTAGAGAAATTTTGCTGTGAAGACCCCTAAGAGACCAAAACGATTGTTTTCCGGGCCCACAGACTGGTAAATAGTCATGAATTTCTTTTTCAGGTATCAAATTCCTATCCCATGGGTTGCAGACCACTGTCACAGACAAAATCTTTGTAGAGAGTTTACCTGTATAACCAAGCATGCCTTCAAAGTGGTGGAATTCACACAAAAAAGTCTTGGAAAGGCCTCCTTAAAGTGCTTTGAACTTTCATGACAGTACTTGATCTCCAGAACTTTGTCCTACAGAAAGTAACTATCCAATAAACTGAAAGCGTGTGAACTCATCATTCTCCTAGTTGCTACACTCTCAACAGTTTCCCCACAAAAGCCATCAAACGAGGTAATTCCACCTTTTTATCCATAAAAATGTGAGGGAAAATATTCCCACGCCTCACTGCATCAACTGCTCAGACAGAAATCCCGGATGATCCTCCGGTTCTGGAAAATTACCGCACAAGCCTGTCGGTTAAAAAATGGACTCTGATGATCCAATCACCAGTGCAGTGTGTTAACGGCAATGCTTCATTCACGCACAGCAACTGCTTCTCTTTCTCTCTCTCTCTCTCTCTTCACTCCTTAGGCTCGGATCACGCTTCAGTTCTTCTCGAATAGGCGAATGTAATTGTGTGTGTGTGCGTATGTGGTAAACTTGGAAATAGTGACAGAGAAAGACACACACACACACAAATACATACGCGAACGCGAGAAAAAGGGGACAAAGTTACAGCAAATCGAGCTTCAGTTCCTCTCGCATGATGCGAAGTACCGTTTTCACTCGAATATAAGACGCACATTCAACATTCGTCCTCATAAAGATGCAAAAAAATTTACAATCTAAAATTCGCGTGAATTCCTTGTGATTCTGTCGAGCCTCTTGATTCTTCTCGAACTATCGTTCCCCGATCAATCTCCTCGAACAACAGAAATAAGGACCCGGACTCGTGCCATTAGACAGAAACTAGTCCCAGTTAGTGTTTCAACGATTGGATTAGTTGGAAGCAATTACGCCCTTCACGTTATTTCTTTCATCAAACCAAAAAAGTGCGTAAACTTCTGATGATTTCATAGAGCCTCTTGAAACTTCTCTAAATACCGTTGCCAACTCAATCTCCACGAACGATGACAGAAATCAAGATCCAGGCTCGTGCTATTGGACAGAAACTAGTCACGAAGATTCGTCCACTTGGAATCGGTATTCGAACGATTGAATTAGTTGGAAGCATTAATGCACTTTACCTAATTTCCTTCAAGTCTAGTTCTCCAACCAAATAAAAAACAACGTGCGTTCCAATATTCGAGTGGATGCGGTACGTATCGGAAAAGCGACAGATAGAGAGATTCGACGAACACTAGTAGTCAACGATGGGCGGAGAGGGCGCGCATGTTAAATCAATTGATCAGTAAAACCACGAAGAAAAGAACAAGCACGCACACACACACACAATCGCAATCACACACTCTTCGGCAGACACAAAGATTAAGAAGAAGACCAACAGGGCGGGAAGAAGAAGAAGAAAGGAAATCGCAGTCAGAGGTCCATATCGCGCGCCTCGTCCTCGGAGAAGTCAGACATGGAGCTCTCGGATCCGTCCGAGTCGCTCGAGTCAGAGGCCTGGCCGTTGTCAAGTTTCTTGAGCGCCTCTTCAGTCGCATACTTGAGCACGTAGTCCCGCACTTTGCGTTTGTAGTCTTCGGGTCGGTGCAGGTACAACGCAGCCGCGTCCCCGTTCAATGGGTCGATCGGGTTCGGGTAGGTCAGCAGCTGCGGCAAGAAGCTCTCGAAGATGTTCAACAGGTCGTAGAGGGCCGACCAGGCCTGGTTGATCACGTCCAAGCACACCGTGCCCGACGCTTCATCGATGTTTGGATGGTACACCTGCGAAAGGTCACACAAGCGAAAGATGACATCTAATCGCACGAAGGTCGTTCTCAGAATACCCAAGCATCTGACTCGAGATCCTTCAAACCACCCGGAGATAAACATCAAGACCTAAGGCTATCTTCAATAGCACACTCGACTTGGGAAAGTTCTTCCTCTCCAGTCAAAATCAAGAAAATTCCTTTCACTCACCTTCACCAAACAAAACTGAACAAAAAGTGAGCAAAGGCAGGTCGAAGTCTGGAATCGGGGCCTTCTCTTTGTCCGCACATGCGAGCGGATTCCAGTTTACATGTACTTGATTTATCCTCAAATTCATCTGTACTAACGTCAAAAATACTGTAAACCTCTTTCCATTAATATCAGTTTTCAGCATTTTAGCTCGAAGGTTTCAACTGTACGTGACGTGAGGTCGACGATCTACCCGCTAAAAAAAACGAAAGTTACGAAGGTGGACCTTGGTTCCAAACCGAGTTGATCAAAAGAGGGGAAAGTGACGTGGAAAAATTCATGAATAATGCTTAGGAGAAATGTCCACCCGTGACCAAATTTATCCATCTATTGGAAACGGAATCTTTTGAAACATTCCTCGCATCTTTTCGAACCATCCGCTTCCGAACTCGAGATACTCGAAGTTAATCGATCAACCGATGAGTTTCTCAAGGAGTGGAGAAGTGAAATTTGAAATGAAGACTTTGAACAGAAAGGAACGATAATTAGAATCAAATAAATGCGGAAGTATACAATTTCAGAGACTCATTAAGTGAGGGACACCGAGACTTGAATAACCGAGGATTCACTCGTGTAGCGCTCATGTTGTGTAGAGATGATGAGGGAACTGATGATAAATTTGCTAATAAATTCTCTATGCAAGATGAGAATCTCAAGATCCAATGGTGGAACGTAGTACCCGAAGATTATATTCAACCATTGTGATGCTTTGAAAGTTTTCAAAGCGAAAAAAAAGATCGGAGAGTCTACTTCAACTCGTAACATGTTTGAATAAAACACGAGGGCAACTGCTGCTTTTATTCTATGAGACTTACGCGCGGAGTACTGAACAGCTTCAGCTTTGCGAAGGAAGTTTCCGGGACTAAACGCAATCAATATAAATCGAATCTCCTCAAGTCCTTTTTTCAAGTACCCGCGTGAATTCCCATAGAAACACTGTATACAACCATCTCTAATCAAAAGCGTTTCCTCTCAACTAAAAACTCCATAGCTTGAATTTTCCGAGACCTTTTCGGTATTTTTTCTTGACACAGAAAAGAGAAAAGCAAAAATACAGTAACTTGATGTGTTTTGAATGAAATTTAGGACTACTCGGGCAAATGGGCCCTTGCCTCCAAGTTCAGCATCCTGTCAACTCCTTCAAGGGGCAATTTAAGGCTCGGAATATCACCACTTGAAATTTCCTGCACTCTTCTACCTTTCCCACAACAAAAATGCTTTTTCCCCAAATCGAAACCTTTTTAGCTCGATTTTTTCCACTGGTCCCTTGAAATTCTACTTGGAAGAGGTTCGACCGTACCACTTCATGAGGCACCACCGTAAAAAGAACACGAATAAGTTATACACCCTCACAACAACGGCACTTCACTTGAAAAATAGCCCACGAGCACACTTGGAAATTGAATCACTTCTTTATCCCTGTTCACACTGGGGGGAACTAACCTTGTTGATGAAACCAATGGATGGAGATTTGAACGGATAGTGTTCCGGCAACAAGACCCGCACTTTCCAAACCCCACCTTCGTACGGGGTGGCGGCAGGGCCGTGGAATTTGACAAAGAACTCGTTGAGTCCGTTGAGCATGGTGACCTCATGCTTAGACTCGATCAACTTGATCACGTCCGTGTCCATGCGCCGTTTACCGGCGCTGGGCGACGACATCGCAACCTCTCAACACTTTACCCTCTGGTCTTCCGAAAACGATTCCGAATCGGAAGCGACCCAAAAAGATCACCGGTGTCTGCTTTTTTTGTATTCAACGCAACACAGTCGAACGACACGCTTGCGTGAATTTCGCCTGCACAAAAAAAGGGAATTATTGTAAGGGATTAGGTCGTAGGATTCGAAGACGAATCAAAACCAAGAAAGCATTCTTCAAAAGCCTGGGAAACTTGATGTTCAGTGAAACCCGAGGGTCGAAACTTTCCTCGCTTTTTTACTGTACTGTAAGTATTTTGAATTTGGGATCCGGTTCTTGATCGCTACAGCAACGGACGTCAACTCGAAAGTTTCAAGCGAAACTGTCAAACGAAATGAATTTTAAGTTGGTTCGGTTAGCTTTATCGGGGGATGAATCAACTCAGGTTAGTTTGAGTTTGTCGAGTGTTAAAATAGGTTCAACAGTGTCAGTCAAGCGTTCCTTTAGGTCAGGTATTATATTCAGTTAGGCGGAGTTGAAATGCATCGAATCGGAATGTTCAAAAACAAAAGCTTCATAGGTCATGTTTTTCAATTAGGTCATATAGAATCTTAGGCTAGGTTAGGTCAGATCAGTTAGTTGCAATTTTGGGTCAAAATAACTGAAATCCAAATGATTTGAAAGTAAAAGGAGCGTCAACAAGCAACCTTGTCAATTTAGCGTCCAAAAACTCTGATCACAATACAAATTTGTTCAAGGTTGGGTTGCCATCTTGGCAGTGACGAGACTGACGACGCAAACAAGTACGCATGTTTCAAGACCAAGTAGTGTCATTAAAAATCATTCATGAATCACTGATATTCATCGTTTCCCAGGATTTTGTTTTCTTCCGCAATTCAACCTTTCCGTATTTCGTAGAAAAGGGGAACACAATGCCCTCCCTCGCATTCATTCCTTTCTCAGAACGCCGAATAGGAAGAAAAATCCTCCATCGGAGGACGCGAACTGCGTGGAGCACAAGTCTTTCTGCTGTTGCTTCTTTTTCTTACGAAATTACCTCACGCCCCGGGGGCAGAATATTGGAAAACAAACCAAACAAAAACCTCCATCCAGTGCAACCAGCTTGAGCGATGAAAACTAAACATGCCAACGAACCCACGGGTACTTTTCTTCAATGCGAGGAATTTGAAATCTCCACTTCATGAACTCAACCAACATTAAAAATGAAACAAAATGACGGCCTGGACCTTCTGGAATGAAAAAAAAACATTCGACGCACGTTCAAATCAAGACGGCGAACTTGGAAAAAATTCTCGAATGATTTCCGAATCCAACCTTCGCCTCGAACCACGCTACAAACAACTCGTCAGATTCTCTCGCACGTTTTGTATCTAACCTTACAAAAAACCCAAGCTTGAAATACGATGGCAGATTCAATGTCATTATCCCGAACAACGGATAAACCACAGAACTTCATTATTATTGCGAGAATCCGCCTCGAAACACATTTTTTTGCGCGAAGCAGAAGAGAACGCACGCGGAAAAAAAGAGGAGTGCTCAGGTAATAGTTTACATGAAAAACTTCATTTTTTCGTAGATTAAAAAAGATCGGGGCTTCGGTGGTTTAAAAAAAAATCAAAAAAAAAAAAAAACCGACGCACTACGTAACGCCTCGAACTTGACCATTCAAAAACTGGCAAGTTTTTCGGGGGAGCCGAGATCCGACAAAAACATCCGTCATGCATTCTCAAAAAAGCAAAAGAAGTTTTTCTCTCTCTCTCTCTCTCTCTTTCCATCCTTCTCGATCATTTCTTCCATGATTTTTCTTTCTTTCACGCGGGACAAAACGGCTCAGCTAAATTGATCCAACGAAAATCCGGCGACCACGTCGTCAACGTTGATGCCTTCTGGAGTGTTTCCGGTTGTGAGCTCGTTGATCACCGCAGCCAGCGTCGGGTCTTGAATCGGGGTTTCAGCATCAGCAAGGACATTCCCTGACTCACGAACAGTAGTAGGTTCTGCAAAAGAAACTACGCTTTGCTCAGAGTTGAGAAATTCTGGACCCTGGACCGTTTCCGGTTGCGACGGTCTCGACGTTTCCTCAATGATCTCCGGTTCCGACGAAGAGTCAGACTTGACAGAATCTTCTTCCTCTATCACTTCGATCACCTCCGTCACGGGTTCGTCGTCGTCGTCGTTCATCGCAGGCAAGTCGACAGGAATCATTTCCGATCCCTTCTCAATAGCGAGCACCGGGTCTTCGTCGACATCTTCCAGTTCGATGACGACGGGATCGGACTTCTTGACGACGGGATTCGACACCTCCTTTTTAATCTCGTCGGCAGGAACTATTTCCATGGGCACTGGGGCAGAGCAGTTCTTCACGACTGCTGTCACGGGTGCAGCCACGGATTCTACTTTCAGCGTTGGAGTGAGGATCTTCTTCTCGATAAGGGATCCATTCAAGGCTTGCTTCTTGACAAGGGTCGGTTGAAGGGCATCCTTTTTCAATACTTTTTTCAGCGCACCAAGTTTGTGCAATCCGACTGCTTGCAAAGCTTCAGGGGTTTCCGTATCCACATATTCGTAATCTTCCGCTGTGAAAATCAAAGCGCAATGAATCTTGCGAACTACGAGCAAATATTGATTCTAGATACAAGCTACTAATCTCTATTCTGAAGTAAAGTTCGAGATTTGAAGACGAGACTTTTATCAATACAACAATGGAAGAAAAGACGTTGAAATAATTCCTGGCAATTTTAAAAATCGTGGGATTTAATTTCGCTTCTGCGTTTATTACTTAGTTCTAATAGAGCTAGAAAATAGAAATACCCCACTCCCTTTTCTTGCAGCATTATAAAAAACATTGACCAAGTCTCGTATTTTTATTTTCCTACGAACAAAAAATTTTCGGAGCTTTCTATTATTCGATTCTTCATGGGTCAGGCAGGTAAAAATCACTTTTTTATGAACTTGCTCAATTTGACGAGCTATGACCGTCCAGAAAAAATTCAGAGCAACCTAATGATTAGCTCGAAAAAGAATTAATAATTTATTGAATCCTCATTTTGTCAAAATAACTTTTGAAAGCATGCAATCAATTCAAAACATTACTGAATTCTGGAACATTCATTCAGCCTTTCTTGGTACCAGAACCGAAGACTCTTTTCGAAACCCAAGATGAAAAAGTCAGTGAAATTTTCATAGGATTTTCTCGAATTTTGTTCAGATCCTAACCAAAACCAAAATTTTTCGAATACAAAGGCTTCCGAAGTTCACGAAACCTTCACAAATCCGAACATGAATTAAATATCTCAGAGTGAATTTTGTACAGTACAGTACTGTACTCTCTTCAACATTTCATTCAAAAGCACAAGTCATTAGACTAAGTTGTTCCTAATTTTCCATCACTACGAAATCGCAAAAAAAAAAAAAGAACTCACCATGCAATGCATCGCTATCCGGAAAAGGAATGTTTTGGAATGACCAGATTGCTTTGAGCCATACGGAATTGATGTCTTCAACACCGTGACGACGTCGACCTGAATTATACAAGGATTAACGTCAATGCATAATTCAAATATAATAGATCACCTTAACCACAGGAGTCGTTCCTTAAAATTCACTAATTTACTTATTAAAATGAATGACAATTTTATTCAATGAATACTCCCTGAAACACAACATCTGCCAAATGTAACCCTCATACAGATGGAATCTACTTCACAATGATTCCTCTACTGCGTTTTCTAAACGAAACGAAGAAATCCTTTTTTCATGGTCCTCGCATAACTCTTGTCGATGCAATAGCAGCTTTTCCACAATCAAAATATCTTTGAATAGTGTATCGAAAATGTGGTCCAGGACCTTCAACAGTAAGCGGAAAAATATCTCAGATAGCCTACATTTTTAAAAAAATTATAGCGAAGGAAATAAAGTTGAATAACGACCTGATGCTATATTTCAGATAGACGCGTGAATTTTGAGGAGCATTATCTTTCCCCTCTAATACTTTTCCTGAAAAAAGCCGTGAGGCCTTGTTCGTTCTTCTTAATCATAAGATACGCCAAACGGCTTTCGATGTCAATATCAGTTTTTCACAAGAATTCCCGAATAAAATTAAAGTCAATCTTTAGGAAATTGAGACCGCTTTGCTTCTCCTGATCCTTCTTGAAACTTAGCTCGGTTAATCAAAGCTTTACTACATTCGGAGAAAAAATCCCGCAGATGGAAGAATATTCCAGAAAATCCCAATTGGAATCCACGAAAGAAGCGGTCTTGTTTTTCGACTTCGTCAAATTTTCGTTCGTTTGTCAAAAGTTGCTCAATGGTTCAATGTTAATCTGAAGTTGTGCTCCTGGATCCCCACAAAAAACTAATGACGATCTTTAAAAATTGAGACAACTTCGCTTCTCCTGATTCTTCTTGAACTTCGGGTTCGGTTAATCGAAGTTTTTCTACAGTACATTCGGAGGAAAAAAACCGGAAAAATCGCGAAGAAGGAAGAATATTCCAGAAAATCCCGATTAGAATCCACGTACGAGCCGCTCTCGGTTTTCCGACTTCGCCAAATTCTCGTTCGTCTGCTCGAAATGATTTCCGCACGTAATCGCACATGTGGTAAATATCAACTCACGCCTTCGCTTCCTGCCTCCGCTCTTCCCACCATCGTTCTCCCCGCCATTCTTCACCCGACAATCAATCCCGTCACCGAACCCATCATCCATGTCACGCATGTCGTCATCGCTGTCGTTGGCATACTCCATTGCCCCACCGTGGTCCTCGTCGTCATCCTCCAGCGTGATCAACTCCGGAAAAGTCGCCGACTGGGCCGACACAGTGGCCAGCGACGCTCTGTGTCGCGACGGATACGCGGATTTCTTGCCGCACAATGCCAAGTGAGTGGCGAGCTTGTTGCCAGAGTAGGTGCCGAATCCGCACACGCAAAACATGGTTTTCTTGAGACACACCGGCTTGGACATGTCGAAGTCGGGCTTGGTTCCATGGAACCGAGCCAAGTGCGTCTGGGCCATCGCGTCGCAACACGTCGAGTATCTTCACATCGCACGTGGAACAAAAGAAAGGGAGACTAGAGATGAATTCTTTCTAAAAATAAAGTGCTCACGATGACACACGCTTGGACCATCATCAATTCCCTGGTAATTTGGCGTTGCTTGCTCAAGAAGAAAAAAAAACAACAACAAGCAATCTACTGTTCCTTAAAAACACTGTTTTAGTAAATACCTCCATACAATGAACCCCCAATGACCTGAGAATAATTTTCGTTATGATGAAAATTCTCTGTCTAGAGATTAAGTTTTTTTTAGCATATAACACTGACATTTGGTGGAGAACAGGTGATAATTGATTCAAGGTACTTCCAGAACAGATTGGCGAAGAATCGCCCACATTTCTATTTTTTCTATCAAGAAAGCTCAGTATAATGCAGAGTACAACTTCTAAAAGCTTTTGAAAATGTCATACCTGCCCATGACGCGCACCCCCTCCTTTTAATGGAGAAAATTCAAAACGTGAAATACACTTCTCTAATTTTAGACCTTCCTTTCACTAAATTTTCTAAAAATTAGATTGATCCTTACAAAATACTCCATATGCGGAGAGAAATAGAAAATAAAAGGGTAAAAAGGGCATTTATTCATCAAGAATTCTCAATGTTGCGGTATTTTTTCAATCATAATTTTTCAAAAAATTCGCCATGTATAAATTATAGATCCATCTCTCGTTCTGACGAATTTTCGAAACACATTGAAAAATTTCAAGCCGAATTCTTAGCACAAGTTCTTGAACCATTCGACAGCTACGTTAACCTAATGACTCAAGTATTGTTCACCTTATTTTTTTTTTTCAAAAATGTACCTGCAATGACTGCAACTCCAACTGGTTTTTAAATGCGCTGCCGATGTGAGTGGCTGGTGACATTCCTGACACAGGTATTCCGAACTAAGCGTTTTCAAATCTAGTTTCAGCATTTTCGACGGATAAATGGATGGTTGGAATATTAGTGGTCCTTTCCGACGCTTCTTCTCGTCCGGCTTCGGCATCATTATCTCTTCTTCCCCACCCTCGCGCGGAGATCGTTGCAAGCCTGCAAAACACGAAGGTTTTCCGCATTACTTCTCTGAACTAGGGATAATAGACACTACTAAAAACAGGGATTTACAAAACCAAGGAAAACATGGATCACTCAGCCATGAAATGCAAGCAATTAGTGAAGAACAGCGCAACCACAAATTGCTTTACGTTCCTTCCGACATTTAAAAATATTGCAGCGCATCAACAGTCCCAAAAAAATTTGCCAATACAGTACTAATATAATTCCTGTATCCACTCATGTACCATGCACCATTGAGTAACACGCGCGCCAGGGATTTTCAATCAATAATTTTGATATAAGATTAACCCCGAAGTACGACGCAAACCCCATTTTCAAAAATTCTGAAACTGCAATATTTAAAAGATGAGAACACAGAAATTTGAATTTGGACAGGAATTTAAACGAAATTCGACTAATGTTCAATTGTTTCCATTAAAATAAGTTCTTCAGCTTAACTTTGGTCCAAAATGTCCCATGAGAATCAGTTTTAATTCAAACTTGAATTTCTAGAATTGCTTAGAAATTTCATACCTGCCCATGACGCGCATCCCCTTTTTCCATTTGAAATTATGCAAAAAAGTGCGCATGGTACTTGAGTAAGTACAGTAGTAACTGAGAAAAACAAATTCTTATTTTTAAATAACTAACACTATCCAACAAAATCTGAACCTGGAAGTTGTCATCAATTCAAAGAATTGAGTCATGAAACTACCTTTGAAACTAGCGTAAGAAATATGGTCCTTCTGAAGATGGTCTCTCAGATGCTCTTGCTTTTGGAAAGAAAGGCAGCACTTCTTGCATTTATTCTTGCTTCCCGGAGTGTCATTCTTCCTCCCTTGATGTTTCTGCAGATGCAAAAAAACCAACCGAAATCCCATCATCATCACATCACCACACGAAAAAAAAGTCTTCGAATCAAGATGGAACCAATGAACCATATTGCATTATCGAACGCCTTTTTACCTGTATGTGTCCGAAAAACGAATTCCGGTTCGTGTAAGTTTTCAAACAATAATGGCATAAAAGACGATCAGAATCGCTATGAGTGTTCTCAAAGTGGTCCAGTAAGCAACGATGGAAGGAGGATCGGAAGCCGCACAGTTCGCAACCATACGGCAACTCGGATTGCACGTGATTCCCGTGCATGTGTCCGATAAGATCCATTCTCGTCTTGAACGGCTCATTGCAAATTCCACAAACTAGCGAATTGTTTCGTCGCATGTGCACCTGGAAATTGAAAAACCGATAGATAAATGTTCCAAAACATCCAGAGTGTAGTCTCCGTGCCGTTTCCGATCAAAGCTTTGGTGGATGAACATGCAGAATGGCAAAAAAACCCGAATATTGAATATGGGGATATTTACAATTTGAGACAGAAAATTCGGAATAATTCAAGATGGAAACCTCAAGATTAGAGAAATTGAGGCAGAAAAGTTGAGACGGGGGCATTTCAGGACAGGTACAATGTGACACAGGGGCCATTCAAGACAGGAACATTTTGAGATGGGACGCGGAGAATCTGAGACCATTTGATACCGGAAAAATTTGAGATGAGACAGGGAAATTTTGAGACAGGCAATTCAAGACGGGGACAATGGATGAGAGTGACCATAGGTGACAAGGACAAATAGGGACAGCAAAAATTGGAGACAGAAAATTTTTCTGACAAGATTGGAGAAGGCAGTATTTTTTTAGGGAATTCAGACTGGAGCTCGAAAAAATGTTACACATGGAGGTATTTGACTTTCAGAGGTTCACGTCATCGAGGTTCAAGTGTTTTCGTTGAAATGATATTTTTCCTTTCTCACGCAGAATTTCGAAAAACTGGCAAGACTCACCTCCTCAACGTGGGTTTGCATGGCGTACGGCGTACCGAAATTCCTGAAGCAATACTTGCATAGAGTCAAATCCCCAAGATCAATGGAGAAAGACCGGGCACTTTCCAGATGCATAAATAAATGTCTAGTAAACGCTACGTTGAAATTGAATACTTTCTGGCACACGGGACACTTGAACACGTTGTTGGAACCGGCGGGAACTGTTTTCGTCGACGCCATTTGCCCATAATAATACTCCCCGAGACGGACCATTTCCGTCGGCTTAAGCCGCTTAGCTGCCAGAGCATGTTCATCGATCGCAGACCGGTTCTCTGACATCGCTGGACGCTTTGTTCCTCCTTTTAAAGGGAACACAACAACAAGGACAACCTTTAGCATAACCTTTGGGAACTCCGCAAATACACAGAGAGGAAAGGTCACAAAAACATCAGAAACCATTTCGAACCACATCATACAGCATTAACTTGCGCTTTTCATCCGCTTAACGCGCGTCAAAGTCTAAAATCCGTGATTCCATTTCTCATTCAGCGCAGCATTGCTTGAATTCATTTGAAATACCGCAACATTTAGCGTCAATTTCATCGATTACTGTAGTCAGTCCCTGCATTGCAAAACTAATCCGTTCCTGAAAGATTTTCGTCACGCCGAACTTTCACTACGTGAAACGCGTTTTCCTCGGAAGTCCGATTGTAATTAATTTAATTGGTTCCAACTACTCACCAAAAGAGCGTATTGAGCCTTATAAATGTGTGTATTTTTCAGCAGGAAAATCGTGAATTTAATATTGTTTAGCACGACATTGAAGTAATTTTGACAAATCTTGCTCATGAATTCCTGAATTTCTCAAATTTTAAAGAACAAGTAGCTGTGAACTATGCTTATGTTTTCTTTTCATTTTCGAAAAATTCTCAGCTTCAGTTCAAATCTCGTTAAAATTTCCGCATTCTTTGTGCCAAAAATTTCGTCCTGCGAAATTATTTCAAGGTGCGAGTCATGTTTTTGCCCCATGAAATGCTTCGTTATGCGGAGTATTTGTTGTGTAGCGACTCACAGTACCTCGCACAACTTCAAACTTTGAAAATTTCCGAACAAAGGGAAAAGAGAAAAATTGGAGCGCGTTATAATAGAGTAAAAATTAGCGGGGAGATCAAAACAAATTTTCCCTCCTCGGACCAATGAAATGAAATATTTTCAAGGAGAATTCGCATCTCTAGTAAAATACTAAAAAACAAACCTTGCTTAGCAGCTGATACGGGTGTTACAGTCTTCTGCTGAACTGTTCTTGTTCGCGCTGCAGGCGCAGCAGCTACAGGAGGTTCCTCCGCAGTTTGAGGGACCAGTGCATAAAAGGTTTTTTGATTCCCAGTAGAAGCCAGCTTCATCAGCCTACTCAGCAACGATTCTCTCTCTAAATAAATTGAAGAAAAGCTATAGCATGGAACTGTCGTGGTGAACTCCGCCAAACTGTTCAAAAGTCGGTTCTTCAACTTCGTTACGTCTCGCTAAATGAATCGAGATGGACGTGATTTACGGTAATTTTCACAGAGCAATATGTAATAATTTACTGGTTCCTGCTTTCATCGTTCATCACCGAGGCTGGAACAGCGAGAAGACGAAATAATTAAATTTTAATGCATGCAAAACTGAGATATCCCGTTTACTTGCCAAAACCCCATGATTCATCGATTCTCAGGCGACTAACACGGACTTCAACGACATCAAAATCTTCTGAATGATCAGCGTTCTGACAATGGCAATCTTATTTTTCGCGATGCTAATCGTGAAGGAAGTACTAAAATTCCAATCGGTGATCATCTTTAGCTAATGAACAAACCCTCTGCTTCAGTTTACGTTATTGATTAGATCAGATTCTAGCTTTAAGCATTCGCAAAATGATCAATGAACCCTTTTCGAGGAATACAATCATCTCACCCTCGGACGCTTTGGTTTCAAAAGCCAACTGCTTGCACAGATTGTCGTAGGCATCTTCCGCAGAATGTCCCCATTTCTCCCTCCAAGCCAGCTCATCCAAAAACGGCTGCACCGCGTTCATATCCAATGTGCCCAGCGTGTTGGCAAATATCTTGGGCACGTGCTTCGTCAAATAGCACACGACCTGTTCCGTATCCTTGGCCGACGTCGCAGGTGCAAACCTCGCGGTGGGCAAAGCACCAGCCACAGCAGTTATGTCTAGAGAGTTGTCCACGATGATGGTGGACTTGCAGTGGACGACGGCAGCGATGCATTGACGGTACGCGGCGTATCGATTGGAAGGAGCCGTACGAGCGCGATCCATTCCGAGAAGGCGAACGAGTCGCGAGCTTCGGTCAAAGACGCAAAGGATTTCCACCGATGACAGCTTCTGTCCCGGAGAACTCGTGTGAAGATGCACTGCAGCTAGTTCCACAACTTTACCTACAATCAAAATGAACGAAGTATCCTTTGAAAGAATTCAAGCAGTGTTGCATAACCCATCAGGTTCGCTAAAGCAGTTTGGAGATATGAGTCATTATGGCGTCACATTCACAGGGTCTGGGTGTGAAGTACGAAAAATGCATCGCATGTATGTCATTGATGTTTAGGACACGGAAGAGGAAGTATCAAGATGAAGTTCAGAATCGAGCAAACATAAAAGTTCATTGATACAGGTTGACTCTCTCTACATCGAAAATCAACCCAGAAAAGAATAGTCGTTGAGAATTCATGTAACACGGGTAGAGAACCCAATAAGGAAAAAATGCCATGAGAGAGAATCGTTGCAGACAAGATCATCGCGAAGAGTGAATACTTTTATAATTGAGAGGTTCTCGAACTTTTGTCTCGTGCAGTTCTCCTTGGAATCAATTTGTGAGAAAGAGTCTCTCGAAATATGTATTTCTGGGAAGATACTTTTACCTCGGGTAAGAGAAATATCAGTCCATACCAATTCTACGCAGCTTTACTTCTTGCGCAGTCGAACGTACAGTCGAAAGTCATCTAATTCTACTTCACTGTCACTTTGATATGTTTTGATTGATTTTCTCCCATCAATGGACTCGGGACTCCTCAGAGCATTGGGTAAGAACCTGACCCAATCTAACCTAAACTTCAGGGACTTATTATTGCGGTTTCGATAGTTTTTTAAAAAGTAGGTGCTTCGATACATATTTCTGAGACTCGATCTTCCGATGTGCACCCGTTATTACACCACTTCTCGCTTTTCCCTGCTATGTAATATTCAATTTGACCGAAAGTAACCATCGCCTGTCATGCTACTATAACTTGAAGCCATCAACACATCTGAACACCACGACTGGAGCGTTGTCACGCATAATCTAATCACTCGCATTCGCGGAATTCACCATCAGACAAACCTGAGAACACCACAAGAGACTGATAGGGATAACAAAGATAAAATCCGAAACGATTCTCACCAGGACCACCAAACTTCGGCATAACTGAGTACACAGAAAGTGCACAGAGCGTCTTGATCACCCTGCAAAGATATAAAAATGGATTGCAGTATTCCGATCACTCGAGCAGTTCTCGAAAAGGCTCATCTCACCTGTAGAACCCGTTTATGTACGACGCATCAGTCTTCACCCAACTGACCACATTCGTCGGGTTTGTTTGACATGCCCAGTGGTAAATCAGCTTCAGAGTCGTAACAGGTGAATGACTCTTGCCTTCAAAAACGGATCCTCGAAAAACAGACACGAATTTGTCCGGGCAGCAATCAGATATCCACACATAGCCTCCAGACGTCGGGAACCGGCCCGCATCATTGTACATGGCTAGTTTCAAGGAGACTTCTTGTCCCTTAGGGGTCTTATGCGTCTGGCACGTTTGCTTATTTCTCAGGAGACCCGAATGAATCAAGAATTCCGTGAACTTGGTCGCAGTTAGAATTAAGGCAGCTTTGACTTTTGAATCTGCAACAGGAATACAATCATCACATGTTCATCCAAGTGGGACAGAGAAGGTAGATTTTTCTTTACCTAGTTTACTACGTCGCAGCAAAGCAACGGAATCTGAAACGCCATTCAGTGGTTTAGGAAACGTGAAAAGAGCAGGAAACTGGGATAGTGGACCGTTTGATGGCTTCCCATAACCTGGTGAGCCTTTCAGCTCAACAGTTCGAGTTGTAATCGGAGGAGGTCCAACTTGTGCAGAAGCTCGGCTGGGTTTAGCCGGAGATACGGAAGTCCTAGCGGTGACAGTGGCTGAACTCATTGATCTACGGTCCAGGACAGGTGTCGAAGGTTGCTATAAAAATAAGGAACACAATTTTGATCACTCCGGACTAGCAGGACAGCCTTCAAGATTAGAACCCAGACGAGAAAAAAAAGAACACGCGCGACGTCATAATTTTCAATCGAACATATTCATCGTAATTAAGATCCACATCATCATCCATGAATCATGAGCAACCCGATTCGTTTTCACTTTCAAGTTTTGCTTCCACTTCGAAAGGAAAAAAACACTACAATTTGTAATAATCAAGTGTTCAAGGACTTCAAGCATTTCCTGAGTAGCCAAACGAAGACAGATTTCAAACATTTTATTATTGTAACACGGATGCGAGTTGACCGATGGACACACACATGCAGAAACACAACGAGGGCAAATTTAACAAGGAAGAATGGTCAAAAACCATAAGTTTTTCAGTAATTTGGCTAACACGTGTTACGTCACGTTATGTGCACGCGATTGTCAACATGAGGATTTTCTGGAATACACTATTTATTCAGTGCATATTGAAAGGGCGATGAAATGTGTCACCGAACTCTTCACGTACGGTTGCGACAGGGTGAACGCTGTCATAATCTGTCGCGTTGAAAGCAATGCGAGAGGCTAAAAATACTCCAAAGAACTATCCGGGGATTTCGGATGAACAGAACGAGTACGTACAACAGAACTTCGTGATGCACGCTGGATGAGAGTTCCTGTCGGTAGTGACATCTTGTTCGCAGCCTCATCCGGGATTCTCCCGATCACCCCGCCAGTACGAGAATCGACCAAAAGCGTCACCATCTTGCTACTGTCATCTGTAGATCCCCGACTTTTACCGTTGTTCGATGAAGAGGCACGAGATTTCCCGACGGAGTTAGATGTAACGCTGCCTGGGTTGGTGGACGAGATACGAGCGCTTGAGCGGCGCGAAACTTCAACACTGGATGAGGTTTGAGCCGACTTTCTCCCAGGTGTACTTTTTGAACCAGCGCTACCATTCTGGGAGTTGTTCATCTCAACAATTGGCACATTCGCCTCTCTATATGTGCGAAGTTCCGTTTCGCAGTTCTTGAAATAAATCGATTAGATTGATTACCACATCGGTGGTTTTTTTCTTTTGTGGGACAATACCCAATTTTACGCGAATATCATACCTCATACTCCTTTTCAGCTTTTTCATAGGCTCGTTGCTGTTCTGGAGTCAGCTCTTCTTCTTCACACTCCATGACAAGCTGTTCGCCCTCCTTCTCTCCGTTTTCCTCTATAATAACATCGTCGTCTTCATCATAACAGTTGATAATCTCGACTGGAGCACGGGAGGAACCTTGCTGGGTTGGTGGATGGCTTTCACGGCCTCTGGACCTCACGTTACGCCCAACCATAGCCCCAGTCAAGACGCGTGATAAACACTTACCTGCGAAAGGTCGCAGGTAATATTGTCAAAGCACTAAAGCAGTGACAGTTACGCGGAACTACAAATGGACCCGATCACTACGAGAAAAGTTTCCACAACACAGAATCTTCAGCTGTTTCGCGAGCACTGATGCATCCCCTGAATGCGTGAATTTCCATAACCATGAGACAAGCACCATTGTAATCGTACATTCCTTCTCTGAGCTCCAAGGCTACAAATTCACACATTGAGCGATTCCAACTTTCCCAGGTAAATACAGTATTGTACTTCTTTAACTCCACTTGTACACGCCACCACGTAACAACAAAGACAACCACACCCAAATCTCTGTGCACATGTTGATCAAAGAAGGCAGCCATACCTTAACTCACAGGTGATCTTGTTGTTGCTGTGCAGGCTCGTTAAAACCAATATCAAAGAACTCGAGGATTTGTGATGTATTGATTGAGTGGACAGATATCAATTTGTTTACTTGTTCATGTACTCAACACCTACACATTCTGTACAATGCGCGTGATCACATAATTGGTTTCAAAATAACAGAATCCAACATTTCCACAGAAAGTGTAATTTAAACTACCATTCAGTAAATGCATCAGCCCAGCTTACATTGTGTGGGCTAACTGCTATATAGAATAGCACACATCAGTGGGGTTTTACTTGCATAAATTTTCTTCTCCAGTATAGTGGGCTATTCTTATTCAAGCTTATGGTCCATGGATCTTAAATCATGCAGGTCTGCATGCTAGAAAGTTTTTCCGTGGAAAAAAAAGTTCCTGAGAACTTTGGAGAACAAAGAACTTATGATGGTACTGTACAGCTGCACTCTCTTTTACTCTGTATGTACTGTACATGAAAGGATTCTCTACAGAATACTTTTGGCCATACAGTATAGTGTTCTCTCCACAAGTTATACAGGGTTTCTCCAGATGAGGGCCCCTTGAATTTGTCTGTTCTGTATATATACAGTAGATAGTCCACCTACAAACATGCTGTACAAGGTTTGTCCTATTGAAGCTTGAACCAAAACCCTTTTTGTGACGCTTTTTCTTTCATTGCAAGAAATAAGCCTGGCATCAGATGATGGTCTCAAACTGAATATTGTACCAAGTGCATCACTCATAGTCTGCATTGTTCGGGGTAAATACTGCATACTTCCAGGCAAATTATCCAATGAGGCTTATTGAATACAGTCCTGTATGCACTTCATCTACTCTTGTCCTGGCATGAAATATATGTGAATTCAGTTTGAAATGCATCACTTGATTTATTTTAGATCGGAATTTCTTTTTAATCAGCATAGCGGGACAAAACTGTACAAAGTGATATGGGATAGGATTCTCCGAGTAAGAGTGTATACTAAATCTCATTAAAATTTACAGGGCACATGTGATACTTCTGACAATGATTCATAATGCAGTGCAAGAATTTAACATCATACTGCTTCCAAGTGTCCATTCCATCAGCCAGCTTTTCTATGAATATAAGGTACAGCCAAACAAGTATCCCGAGAAGTTGCATAGCAATACAACCTTAATTTTCCTTGACGCGAAGTCGGTGAAGCGCAAAACAATCTTTGGATGTCGACATGCGCGGCATATCCAATTAGGTTCAGTAACTTCGTAATCCACATCCTACAAAGAAACGGAATATATCGGCAGTTTTCTCAAAGAATTAAAACACAGAGGCAACATAATTGTGCCATTTGGTCTGGGCAAGAATCCAAAGTTTCAAGTTCCAACTAACCTATACAACGGACACAATTTCCACAAATGTTACAGTGAGATGAAGCGAAAAACGAACGAAACAAAAACACACGCACACACATCATATGCACAACGTATTTTTAAATGGTTCTATATTTTCTCAAATAGTTCACAATCAGAATTACGCCAAAGATCCCATCGGATCCCAAGGCGGCAACACAATCCTTTCCTTGTCGAGCGCGGCAAGAACGTCTTCCGATAAAAATTTCTTGTCAACCACGACTTCGTACACGTATTCACGAAACCAGTCATTCGTCATAACCGAATAACCTTTCTCGCCATCATCCTCTCCCCACGAATTTTCCACTTTATAACGGCTCGGAAGGGAATCATCCGTTTCGCACGTGACTCCGGTAAGAACCATCGCATGGGTCATTTGGGATTGTCCGTAAGTCAGCTTCTCTGCCTTGCTCAAATTCAGTATGAAGTCTTCGTCGAAGAGAAGCTTGTAATTTCGCCTGTTTGCATAAGGAAGAAAGGTGATTACAAAATCAATTCCGAATGTTGAGACAAACGTTCGCGCACTGAAGCTGCTCAATAAAAGAATTGAAAAATCATAAACGTGTTCGATCATCGCCAAAACATTCAAACCGCAGCCTAATTTTCCCTTCTTAATGCGTTTCTCTCAATAGATACATGGAACTGCAGTAAAATCTTGTTGATTTTTTTCCAGTAAAATGAACTAAAACGAAGCTTTCTTGGAACATCCGCCCATACAAATCTGTTCAGGAATCCCTTTAAAAAACTTGAATTACCGTACACAAAAAGTGCTAGTGTTTACCAGTTATTCACGGTAAAATTTTGTTATTCACATTGGAATCTCTTTTTGAAGATCAGCTTTTCAAACAAACAAATCAGAAAAGGTGACAGAAGGAAGATCCAACCAAGCAGGTTTAATTCAAAACAGTCTTTCCAGTCAATAATTTGTAAAATCTCAGAACAAATCATTTCATCAAAACAAACTGTTCCTGAAATTTCCACGAGTTATTTTTAATGAAGATTTTACTGTGTTCGACCGATATGAATAGAAAACAACGGCTTACACATCAGTAGACATGACTCCTCCCTTGCATCGCGATGCACTGACATCGCAACCGAACCACACAGGTTCATTTGCCTTGATAGAGTCTCGAACAGCACGCATCATGACTTCGATTTCCTGGTTGTTGTAAACGGTTTCTCGACCGCCAACGACATTCCCAAGATACTGGACAAATAAGGGTCTACCGAATTCACTCGTCGGTCTGGGATCGTTCACCAAACAGATTTTCTCATCCAAGTCAAACAAGGGCTTCACGTGCGTCTCATAAAAGTCCAATGGTGTCAAGTTTGGGATTTTCTTGTATTGTTTCTTCTTGTCGATGAATTCCCAATCGAAGTGGCTCGGCGGAATCCCCAAACAAATCGCAGTGATGCGGTAAATGACTTTCATATACTCCTTGATCTTCGCTTCGATATCCACGTCGCCGCTCCCTGCGAAATCAAGAGTAAAATGTTGCCATTCCATTACATAAATACAGTTGAACCAAGAAGAGCCGCCAACATTTGTTTGTTAAGTTTAACAGGGTTTGCGGTTTATCAAAAAAGGTAAAATTATTCGAAAATTAAGTACAGTAAAGTCTTGTTACAACGAACTTTCGAAAACTTCAGTTAAAGTCTGCTTTACGGAATAATTTTTAATTATAGGGATTTTCAAAATTAAGGACTGGAAAGAATGTTCAAATATGACCTGCCTATAATAATTAGATTTTGCTCTTGAAGCATTCTCAGATTTTTCATTATTGTTTGGAAAAATTAATCTGCTGAAAAATAAAATTAGCTTCAATCATGCATTCTATCAATCCCTTCATTCTGGGAGGATGATGTGTGGAACCACTTGGGCTGCATGTTTGTTAAAGATTACAGCTTACATCCATGCTATAAGAACCGATCAGTCAAATCTGGGATCAGAAATGTTAGACCGTGCCTGCCTCAGTAAGGAAATTTCCACCTCAAAAATCTATTGAAAATTCATCAAAAAAGTTTGTTACACTGTACTGGAATTGGGAAGTTAGTCATAACAAGATTGTTTTAAAATGAACTCAATGGGCTTCTGGCAAGGACTTGAGAAAAAGTTTGTCATACTGAAAAATGTGTTGTAATGCGATTTTACTGTGCAGTAAAATCTTGTTACAACAAATAACATTACAACAAAATTTACATTATAAGTTTATAACAAACTTTTTTCAAGTCCAGGCAGAAATCCTATAGGGTACATGTTATAAAAATCTCATTACAACAAACAACAAACTGCCAATTCCAGGATAACAACTTTTTTTCAGGAACATTCTGTGATTTCTTAATGAAACATCCATAATGGAGGCAGGCACAGTCTCACATTTCTCATTTCAAATGTGACTGGTTCTTGGAACAGAAGGAGGAATCAAGCACAAAAATTCTTCAAAGTTCACCTAAAAATCCTCTCTTTCAAAAAGTATTCTTATGTTATGAATGATAATAGTGGGAGGGGGGGGGCGATCAGATGGAAAAAAATGAGCACAGCAATGCTCACGTTAAAAGGGTTTGTATGCTTGAGAAATGCTAGTGATGTAAAAATTGTTAGCAATTTTGACACATTCACCCTTACAAATCTTTGCAGGAATTGCTTCAAAAAATGTGGAGTCAAGAAAGTGTGCTAGTATTTACCTGTTATTCAGAGTATCTGTTTTATTATTATTAACAATTACATTTCTCTTTGAAGATCACAGTTCTTTAACCATTGAAAAGCACCTGAAAAGGCCACAAAAGGAAGATGTCAAATATATGCAGGTCTAATCTGAAGAAAATCTTCAAATCAGTCAATAATTTTCAAAATCTCATTATAAAAAATCATTTGTTACAAAAAACTTTTTCTGAAGTCCCCACAAGTTTGTTGTAATGAGATTTTACTGTATAAGAAACAAATTTGTATTCTTCTAAAAATCAATCGAAATAACTCTGGAATGCGTTAAATAGATTTAAGTAATGTTCCCATGAAGCAAATTAGGTCATCTGAGAGTTTTTTTCTCCATAGGAGATCTCTCAGAGAAACTTGAATCTTTTTCAGTTGCTGGGCTGCCAAAGACCGGCATTAGCGTACTTGAGTTGCTAATAATTTCAGCGTATGGCGTTTTGACAGGGTTCCCAATGCTTTCGCAAGTTGGAAAGTTTTGCTTTTCAAAATAAATTGACAGTTGCAGAGGGTGGCGTTTCATCAGGATTTGACGGCAATACAGAAAATGTGAAAATGTACCTTGATCGAGCGCCGTTTTCAAATCGCGCGCGAACTGCCTCAATTTGTTTTTCAGCAAAGAATTCACTCGACCCGTATCTTCGCAACAAGCAGAATCAGCATAAGCTGACTTGGGCATCAAACCATACTTCTTGACGAGGTTCACCAACATGTCCCACTGTCCACCATCCTGAACAGGGTCATAGAGCAGGAACGAAATCAGGCGTCCGTCAGTCTTCTCGCCGTCCTTGTAGGCTTCGACAATCTTGTGAAGAAAAAAGTTGGCGCGTTCAATCTTGTCCCAGAAGGCCAAAAAGGGCTGCGATAATTCGAGTTCTTCCAGGTCAAAGTGTTTCATCACGGGTACTCGAACGGTGTTCAAAAGGGCAAAAATCCAACAACGTCCAGAGCGCTTCTGATTGGTCATAGGCTTGCCCTCGGGATCAACTTTGTGGGAAAAGACGGGGCGCACCGATTGAATCGTCGTCCGCTCAAGAGCAGCCAACATCGGGCTTTGTCGAAAGCACACATTCTGGGCGAGATGATTCTTTGGACAGGATTCGAAATCCTTCCTCACTTCTTCCAGGAAAGTAGCGTCCAATGTACCCATAGTTGAGTAGTGACTGACGGTGCAACAAGTCAATATACCAAAAATGCACACACTATTAAAATCTGAAGAAAAAAAACAACAAAAAATAAGCTATTTTCCTCACACGGTTTTTACGACGCGTCTCTCGAGAAACCAAGCGAATGTAAAAATTCAGTTTTATTGAAAACGCAACAAATTTGAGGGGCCAAATGAATTTTGAAATCTGATTTCAAGAAAAAGATGGTCAAGGAGTATTCAACGACATGATTGACAAAAAATTTAAAATCACGCGGTACCAAGAAACTAAAGCATTAGAAGAAATCAATTTCTGCCAACAAATTCTGACGCGGTCCAAGCATGAAAATAAATCCAACACTGACGACAGTGACGAACGCAAAAATGAAGCTGATCAGGAAACTCACTGATCAGAGTTGATTTTAACGAGAAATTTTTTGCAATGACAGATGACCTCTTCAATCTCCGACGCACAACACGTGCCTGAACAGACAAACGATAAAATACTGCCAAAATGGTAAGAAATTAGGCAGTTTTTGTTTTCCTTCAACCAAGATTCAATCCAAGCAATCGCGCAGCTTCCAAGTCAACTATGGTGTCCAAATTTACAGCAGCATTAGTTGAATCCACTGTCTCGTTTAGACCGCCTCCTTTGTTGAGGTTCTCCACTGTTATGTGTTGCAAGAGGCACCGGTGTGATCTTAGACTGACCTGCAAAATTCAACAGCAGAACATATAAAGTTTTTCATCTCAATTTTATTTTTTTCAAGCAAATGGAGTGAGCCAAAAACAGAATAAATTAAAATACCAAATACTGTAAATGAAATCTACCAGATCAACGCATGATATTCCAACAAAAATAAAATAAATAAAAAACAAGCGCAGCGTGATTAATCATTTCTCAGCATAATCATAATTCAAAAATAGCAAAACTATGTTTCAAGGTTTCATCAAAGTTCTCACTTCTACAGAATCATTTGAATTTTGATAACTTAAACCTCCCTCAGTCGAATTCTTTTTCTAGTCCCTGTCTAAACTCCCTCAGAAAGAATACCTTCAAAAACCTCCTTAATTCGAAGACTTTCTTCCTCGAACTTTCATAAACCGAGTTTTCTGTAGGCTTTTCGGCTATTCTTTTTTTTGACACAGGAAAGAGAATAGCAATAAATACGCAACTTGACGCGTTTTGAAATGAAGGGAAAGACTAATTGGGCAAATGAATCCTCGCCTCAACATTCAGCATCCCGTCAACTCATTTCACAAGTAATTTAATGCCCAGAATATTACCAATGACAATTTTTGCTATTCTTATTTCTTTCCCTCAACAAAAAAGCTTCTTTTCCTTACTCAAAACTCGCCAAAGACGATTTTTTTTTCGCTAGTCCCGTGAAGTCCGACTTGAATAAAAACGAAAGATGTCAGAGTCGGGGAAGTCAAGCTATCATCAAAGAAGCAATGCAATCTTTTCAAATGCACCCCAGTGGTACGCAACTCATTACGATTGATTAATTTCGATAATATCATTCAGTCGGATCAAACCTTGTAACGAAATTTCCTGCCACAACCAACACAGTTGTAAGGAGCCTCATTCGTGTGCGTTCTTCTGTGCACCATACACGCAATGCGTTGCCGAAACTTCTTCCCACATTCTTGACAGACAAACGGCTTCTCCCCCGTATGTATTCTTCGATGGTTTTGCAGCGTCGCACTTTCTCGAAAGGTCTTTCCACATTCCTCGCACTTATGCGGTCTATCTCCAGAATGATACAGCATGTGCTTCGTCAGAGACTGTTTGAACGTGAACGATCTCGAGCAAACTTCACAGCGATATGGAGTCTCTCCAGAATGAAGTTTAATGTGCTTGCGTAAGAACGTCTGAAAAACACGAAAAATATTTTTTTAACAATGAACCATCCTAAAACACTGCCCCAACTGAACAATAAAATCAAGTACAGATATCGACTTCTTAGGCCAAAAGTAGCGAATGATTTCCTATAAAAAATTGACTAAAAAGGGAAAGCATCTTTTCCACTCAATTTCGACCTTCTTTCAAGGTACACTAGTGTCAAATATCCTCCTCGAATTGAAGAATCGTCCGACAACTTACATGTAAAATGCGAAAAACACAGACGGGAGTTAGAGCATTGGACCAAACAATTCTTCACCAAACGTATACGGCATTTGCCAATAACCAAAAGAGGTTCTGTTTCAATAATAGACTTACTAAAACTGACTTGAACATCCTTATTGACTGCGAAATGAAGAAAAATCAACAATACCATTCGCACAAACGAAAACAGACCCTCCTATAATCCTGCTTCAACGGATAATATCAAGCATCCAAACAGAATGCCATGGCTTAGAGAAAATAAATCGGGCTCAATTGTAATGGCATTCCATCGCAAAAATTACGGGAAATGAAGTCGAACCTCTTCAAGTCAATTTCAAGGGACCAGCAACAAAATTCGAGTAGGAGGCTTCGAGTTAGGGAAACCTGCAATTTTGTCAGGGGAAAGAAAGAATAATTGCAGAAAATTGTAATTGGCAATATTCTGGGCATTTAATTGCTTCTTAAATGAGTTGACAGGATGCAGAAATTGGAGCCAACGCTGCATTTGCCCGATTAGTTTTTCGCTTCCATTCAAAAGACATCAAGTTACATTTGTATTTCTTTTCTCTTTCCTGCGTCTATCAAACAAAAGCCAAAAGGTCTCCAGAAATTATAGAATTATCGAATTATAGAGGCTTTAAAGGATTTGTTTCCAAGAAAATTCAGACCAGGACTTGAAAAAAAAAAAAAATTGACGCAGGAAGATTCGCGTTATCGAAGTTCAACTTTTAATAATTCGGATAAAAAGAGTAGGAAATCACCTTAGAGGAGAGCGTTTTGAGGCAAACAGAACACCTCCAAACAGGTTTTCCACCATGAGCACTAGCATGGAACTCTGCATCATTCGGAGCACGAACATCTTCGGAACACACTGAACAAACGGCATCCACGCCAGTTCCCGTCAAACGCTCCACAGGATCAGCAGAAACCACCCTCTAAAGAAAACGCCGAAATAAAATTAACGTCTATCGAAGAACGATAGAAAAGAAATCTTCGAAGATAAAAAGAAAACGAACGACTAAAGGACAGATTTAGTGAAAAAAGGTACATATTCTGCATACCTTTCGGTAATGATGTTAGTCGACTCACATACACAAGTCAACCTCATGCTGGACTGAACAAGCGGGTGTCATCAGAACACGACAGGGTAACTTCGAAAACACCGGGGTTTTTCGCCTCGCACAAACTCTCCCGTGTTCTACCTTTGCCGATTTATCATTGTGGAAAACCCGCAAATGCACGGTACACGTGCCCTTGTTCTTGAACACTTTCGGACACAGGTGACACATATAAACGCGTCCTCCGTGCTTGTCGCGGACGTGAGTCATGAGATCCTCCGAAGATGCGAAGACTTCATCGCAGCAAAGCATCTGTGTCTTGTGCACGCAACTCGAGTGGAAATCTCGATGCATCGCCGACTTGAAGACAAAATTGCATAGGGAACACCCGAAAGATTCTTCGCTCCGAGGAACAGCATCTGTGCAGATGATAAAAATACGGACAACTATATCAGCACATATTCAAGAACTCATTCGGTTGGTCAGCCCAAAAACTAGAAGGACCTAAGCACACACACCGAATTCATCTAAATCAATGCAAGATGTCATTACTTCACCGATCCGAAATTCGTGATGAAAACGTTGCAAAAGCCGAACTAACCTAAATACCTAAGTAGCATCCCCAACCAAAAAATCGAAAATTCAAGTTGGTACAGCATTTTCTGTAAGAAAACTACGAGAGCAGGGCAAATTTTACACTTTCACAGAAAGGAACTTGGAAACAATGCATCTGAAAAAAAAGCGCCTGTACTCTGAACAAAGATTCTCCGACACGAGCCTGAATGTGCAAATTCTGTTCAGTTTTCATTTCATTTCTATTCAGTCAACAAATGAAGCGAACTGATCTACGATACACATAAATTTTGTTTTTGAACAAGGAATTAAAAATTTTTCTGCAAAGTAAAACAACAGGGGAACTTGGAAAATAGTACAGTTGAACCTTGATAATTCGAATACCTCCCGATTTTCAATTTTTTTTTTTTCAAGTCCCTGTCTGAATTTCCTCGGAAAAAATTAATTAAAACCTCCCTAACTCGAAGGCTTTCCTCCCAAGACCTTCGAAACTAAAATTTTCTGGAGCCCCTTTGGCCATTACTTTATTGAAACAGGAAAGAGAAAAGCAATACAATTTTAATTTGATCCTGTGTTTCGAAAGGAATTACTGTAAAAGACTAATCGGGCAAATGAACCCTTGCCTCAACATTCAGCATCCTGTAAACTCATTTCAAAAGCAATTTCAGGCCGAAATTAGCAACGATTACAATTTCTTATCATTCTTCTTCCATCCCCCCAATAAGAATAAGGCTGGTATTCCTAAATCAAAACCTCCCAAACTCAAATTTTCTTTGCTTTGCCCTCGAAGTTCGACTGCATATTTGAACACAGCTCCACAAACCTTCTGATTTCGTCATTATCTTGACAGTGAAACAAAATTTCGCCATTCCAGCCACACGATCGAACTCGACGTTCACATTTCCCACGGTCATGCTGTGCACGGTTTCGTTGATTCCCAATTCTTCCGCCAACGTCGCAGTTTCAATGAATCCCAGTCCACGGCACATCGGACACTGGTGCTTTCCAGGGATCTAAAAAATACAACAGGAGAACGAAAAAAATAAGACCTTCTTGAATGCAAGTTCGAACTGTAATTAATCAAGGCTCCAACCAGGACAAAACCTTTCGAAAGTGCACAACATCGACTCGGAATCTGAGAAAAACCCTTTCATAAATGAAACAATTAAACTCAAAATTATCTCCAATCATAAAAACCGCGTCGCGATGGACTTGAGTGCACCCCCTTCTTCTTCAAACAACTCTTTGGAAACTTTTCTCGATCTCACGTCAGCTTTCGAGTCCGCCTACCAACCTCATGAGCTCCACAAAATATTCGACGATTTCAAAAAAATGGAAGACGACGAAAAACTTCGCTACATTTTCGAAAACTCCGTATTTTCGGCAATGAACATCCAGCCCATCACGCTTGAAAAGGACAATGAAAGCAGTCAACGGATGCGAAAAGATGGCAACGCGGAATTTGCTCAACGCAAGTTCGAGTCAGCCATGTACTGCTTCACTAAAAGCATTCTTTTGGCTGAGCATTCCCAAGACAACAAAAACAACAACAACGTGAGCACAACAAAAATCATCTTCATCTTAGGTTCAACGATTCAATTTTTCCACTCTTCTGCAAGGGGCCACTTTAATACAGTCAACCCTCAACTTAGTGTCACTCTTGCTCCAATCCCTGCAAAAAATCTTCCTCCATTGTGTTTTTATGGGAAACCCCAATTTAGTGCCTTTAAAAATTCATTTTCCCGGAAGGAAAGTGGGCCAAAATCAAAGAAATCGAGATCTTCTAGGGATACGATTGGGGTTTTACTAAGAATCCCATGATCATGCTCACAAAAAAATTGAGGATAATTTTGAACGCGTCATTTCTGAATTTAAACAGCTGAAAATTGTGTTGAATTTTGTCTGAGTAAATCTATACAGCATAAAAACCATACAGCTGCGCTTCAAATTATTTCTTGGAACTTTCTCCCTCATTGAAAAAGTATCAGTTGCCACATAATTTTGTAAAAAAGCTCATTTTGCCTTCAGTAGATACTGTCAACTGAAATTTCCTCTCATACTCTCACATATCCACAAAATGTGCAAAGAGAAAGAGTGGTACTAATTAAAGTTTAAAAAATTTTACACTTTCAAATCAATCAATGCTAGGTGTCATGGCATTGCAAAGAGCACCCAAGTGGGGAGCTATTCTTTGTGTGACCCCACAACTGGTGCACACCTGGGTCACAACTGGTGTACATGGGCTATTCTGGGGTTACAAGCATGCACCTCAGTCAATGAAATTTTGCTACCATTCCAGGGCTACATTTGGTGCACAAATGTGACATAACAGGAGTATCACATAAATGCACCAACTGTAACCTTGGTGTAACTTATTTATTACAAATGTGACCCTGAGTAACCCTGGAGTGAACACACAATTGGTGCACATTAGGGATATACATGTACAACAGAAACACTTTGGTACACTTCAGGTGCACAGCAAGGTCACTGTGTAGAAATACAGACACATCCCCAGTGTGCACCAATTTCCCCACCTGGGCAGTGATTCTCAATTTGTGTTACTGGAGCAGTTCTGAAAAAGCTTGGATGCAACAATAGTGCACTATTTATACAGTAAAATTCCATTTCAACAAACTTATGGGACTTCAAAAAAGTTTGATATGCATGTACAGAATAATGTTCTACAACCAGACTTCCAAAATAATGTCTAGAACAAAATTTCACATCAAATCGGCCTATGATCAATTGGATCTTGGTTTCTCAGATATTTTACTATTGTTTGGATACTATGGAAGACTGAGTGATCTTCTGGGGAAAATTACCTTCAATGCATTCCATCACTTACAACAATCTTTTCATTCTAGGATGATGATGTGCGGAACCACTTGGAAGCATGTTTGTTATAGATTACAGCTTCCATCCACACTATAAGAATCTGTCAGTCACATTTGGGATTAGAAATTTCAGACTTCACCTGCCTCAGTCAGGAAATTTCTACCTGAACAATCTATTAAAAATTCCTCAAGAATGTTTGTTACACTGCTTGGATTTATCAAGTTTGATATCAAGAGATATTGTTTTAAAATGCACTCTGTTGGCTTTCTGCCAGGACTTGAGAAAAAGTTGGTCATACAGCGCTAAAAAAAATCGTTAAAACAAAATTTTACTTTATCGCCTTTTCGTAAAAATAACATTTTTTTTCCGCAGCCAGAAAAAACTTCAGACCTCGCAAACGCCTACTTCAATCGCGCAAACAGTCTCTTCCAACTAAAACGCTTCTCATGCGCCATCAAAGACCTACGCAGAGCTCTCCAGTCCGGTTTCGCAAAAAACCAATGCTACAAACTCCACGCTCTCGAGTCCAAGTGCTGGGAAAAGATGGAACACTACGAAAAGGCGTTGAACACGTTCCGTTTGGCGTGCAATTCTCAACCCGAGTCCGGACAAGGTGACAACAACGAGCCAGACAAGGCAGTGGTGAAGCGCATCAATGAACTCGCCAGCAAGGTCTTTGAGCAAAAGGGGATTTTCATTGACGACGAGGAGGAAACTGCTGCGATTGCGGCTCCATCTAGGGCATTGTACATTGAAATTGGGAAATATCGTCCGAAACTTCCAGACACGAAAAATACCAAGTTGAGGGCAGCCAGTAGTGCGGTAGAAATGCGGTTTTCCAAAGAATCCGGGCGACACCTGATTTCGAATCGTGACATTCCTCCAGGTGAAATCTTCATGAGATTCTGTGACTGCGGACAATTTCTTTCAGAATGATCATTTCCGCATTCCTAAAGAAACGAATTCTCGATGCCGACTAAAGGTGGACTCTCTCTACAAAGATTTAGTCTAAAACGATTTTGTCAGTAGTCTCTTCCCATGTTGTAGGTTGCTCTACAACGATATTTTTTCCTGGTCTCTTGCATTTCGTCTTAGAGAGACTCAAGTATTGAATAAGTCGTTTTTCGAGTTAGAATTTCGGGAAAATCATACCGACAGCATCAAAACGGTGGTTCAACATACCGAATCCAAACTCTCAACATACCGAATCCAAATATCAAGTGCCTTCCACCCAGGAAATGTTCCCACCTTATTTATAAAATTTTTAATGAAGAAAGATGCCATACGGCAATGGGAAAACATTTGAGTTTAAATTCAGAAATGACATGTTCAAAATTATCCTGATATTTTTAAGTGACTATAGGCAAGTGATTTCCAGTAATAACCCATCCCTGGAAAATGGTCTTCATTTCTTTGATTTTTGGCCCATTTTTCATTCAGGACAAGGACTTTTTCATGACAATAAGTGATTTGGCACTAAATCAAAGGTTGACTAATGCATTTAGAAAAAGCAGCTAGAAATCTCAAATTCTGAGAAAAGCTAAAAGTGAATGATCATTGAATGTCCAAAATTTTCAGGGGAAGTCCTGATTATGGAGAAACCTTTCGCCCAGGTGCTGATGCCCAAACACTGGCAAACCCACTGCTTCCACTGTCTCTACCAAACCGATGTGCCTGTTCCTTGTTCAACCTGCGCCATGGTAACACAACCCAGGAAACCCCCGACTCAGAACGACATTTTAAAAATCATCTCACCTATTACAGGTGATTTTCTGTTCAGAGTCTTGCAAAGAAGCAGCAACATACCACTCGCACGAATGCCCCATCCTGGGAAATTTGTCGGAAGAAAACATGGCAACTCTTACAATTCTCGCCACGAGAATCGCTCTAGTGGCCGGTTTGGAATCTATGAGAACAGCAGAAAAGTATTTACAAAACTTGGATAATCCGGATTATCCGGAATCCATCGCAGGCCAGGTAAACTTGACCCCAAGAAATGGGTGCAGATATGTAAAATCCCGTAAGAACACATCTCGCCATTAAGAATATTTTTTCCGGGTCCCAGCAGTTTCTTCATAGGGACAATATTATAAACATGTCCTTAGAACAAACCAATTTTCCTATTCAATTTCAGTACAGTATACCGCACTTCGGCTTTTATTATGAGTGAATAGACCACGTACATTTTTATTACAGCAAAATATAGGAAAACCAAAATTGTGCATAATTAAAAACCTTAAAAAATAAGAATGCTATTCGTTTTATACAGAAAATCTAGCATTGCAGGAAGCAGAAAGCTCTCATCAAAATTCATTTTTCTCTACTTTACTTGAGAATGCAGAAATGGCTTATTTTTTGTAGGTGTACATTTAAAAATATACTACAGTTCTCAATTTCAGGAAGCATCCAGTTCTTCATGAATAAATGCTTTCACTCCAGCAAAATCCATAAAATTTCAGAAAATTTAAGAAAATGAAGGTATTACGAAAAGTATATTGAACTCACGTTTTGCATTTTTCAATTGAACAGTACTGTATTTCATCAAAATAAGTTGTAATCTTGTAAAAGCGGGGAATTACAAGAATCTGTCATTAAAATATTTTTGAGCCAATTACAGTAAATTACTAAATTACGTGTATCCCACGAAATCACGATCCTGATATTTACAGTTAATTTAAATGTAAAAACTTTTCTCCCAGGCGTGCGAATCAAGCGATTACCTCCAGATTTGCGCGCAAGTTACACACAAAGAGAAATGGAGCGGAATGATGACTTTTCAAGTGGGACTCATTGCAGCATATGTAACGTTGCTGCTTGAAAAAACCGGTTATTTCGGCTCTTTCGAAAACACCTCTCCCGCCAAAAATACTAAAAAAGCAGAAGTTCTCGCCAAAATGCTCAAGGAAACCAGTGGAATGCAACCCCCAGATCAAGCCGTGCTGAACAAGGGGTTCAACAGAAAATCAAAATGTAAGTACTGTATCATACATTGTCAAATGCCCCTTAGAGCGTTAGGCCAATTAATATTTTTTGAAGAATTTTCTCGATTTTCATAGACACTTTCAAGGTTGTGTAAATAATTAAAATTAAGGGGTAGCATTTGTGTACTTTCCTGTTATCTCAGTACCTACTTTCCTGTTATCTCTGTACCCACTGTCCTGTTATCTCTGTACCTACTTTCCTGTTATCTTACAAATATCTTTCAATTAACATAACCTGACCTAACCTAACTGTACCTAACCGCCTCCCAAAATCAGATTGTACTTCGTGCGCCAAACTCAACAGTTATATAAGGCACAGAAAGTAGGCACTGAGATAACAGGAAAATACCAAACTTTGTTTAGGAATGGATCAAGTCTGTCAGCTGAGACCCCTCTGTAATGATGCAATGCCTACCACACCAATTCGAGAAATTGCGTTTTACATCAGGAAAATGTCCCTGTCAAGTTGATTATGACACTTGAGTCAACCAAGATTCATTCTCGACACCAGCAACGCAACACTATCTCAGTAACAAAATTCAACTTTAGAAAAATGTTATTGCAAGATAACCCCAATAGCATGGGGACACGGGTTCTCTACAAAAGAACCTTTACTAGGGAACCAAAACAAAAATCAATTTTACTAGGAAAATTCTCGTGGACAAAAATTTCGTAGGTATAGTTCATCTGTAGAATTAATTTTATTGTGGATAACTCCTATAACATGGGAAGAGAAATTGCATGGGGCCAAAACAAAAATTTCTTGTGAAGAGAAAACTGTTGTACACAAGATCATGGCAGAGAGAGAGAGTCCATATAGCCGAACACTGAATTCTTTGCAACAGAAAACCTCAGATTCAAGCAATAAGAAAGTCCAGCTCTTCCACTGCCCCTTTTGACACTCGAAATACTCTCCAAAAAAGAATTCCTCAAAAATTTTCCACGCACTCCACAGACACGACATACTACTCTACGATCCCTTCAGAAAAGAAGGAAAACATGCTGCTGGTCGGCAAGTTCCTCATGCGACACCTAATGACCCTCCGCAGCAACAGGTTCTCCATAACGGAAACCCTAGTGGAGAGAGAAAAGCCCCAGGGTCAGAACGTGACTTACAAGAGCTTTGGAAGAGCAGTGTGCGCAACACTGAGTCTTTGCAACCACTCTTGTTGCTGCAACACTTGCTGGGAACTCATCGGAGACCACATCGTACTGCGGGCCATCAAACCCATCACGGCCGGAGACGAGATAACCATGACGTACGGCCACAATTTCCACACAGACCCGTACGAACACAGACGACGGGTGCTACAGTAAGTCTTCAAACTCAAAACACACGGTTAAAGAGAAGGGTAGCGTATGTACTCGAGTACCACACGCCATCTTTTATCTCAAAATTGAGAGATTTTCAAATGTTTTTTTAGAAGTTTAGCAGTGTATATTTGATTATAGTGGACAATTTTGTACCACTTTCAATAGAAACACTTACTACAATGGATATCATTGAAAATTACTTGAATTCAGGCTCAAATCATGTATAAATCCATACTTGGGCACTATTATATGAAAACAGTTTTAGAGCCACTAAAAGTGGGGTGCGCGTTGTAATCAATTAAATATGGGTATTTTTGTACAGTAGACATTCAACCAATAATACTCTTAATTGGTACAGTATTTGCAACACCCTGTACTTTGGGCAGTTCCAAAGTCACAACTGCTTCATGGAAAGCTTCTAATTTTGCAGAGCTCCATAAATTTTCTAGCCCTTGGACAGCAGCAGCCTCTTTTCCATCCCAGGGTGAAGTCAGACTTTTCCCCAATGTGCCTGCATTATATTTTTGCACAAGGTTATGCAACCCCTGCCAGGTGGGGGATGGCAAGTCGGATTTTATCCAGGGATAAAGAAATGCTGGGATAGTCCTGAGTTGGACTTGACTCCTGCATTCACCTCTAACCTGGGCTCCTGGCTTTCAAGCTTAAATGTAATCTTTGAATGGGGAAACAACACAAGGCCAGGGGAAAAAAGGGAGCCTTGAAGTTTTCAGTTTTTCATTTTCAGGTGAAATTTTTCTGCAGAAAATTTAAAAAAAATGCCAAGATTTTTCCCGACTTTGCCCTGCACACACTGTTGGGGGTTTTTTTTAATTCCACTCTTCAGTGCAACCAAAATCTGCGAAAAAAGTCCGACTTTGCCGCAGAAGGGCTAGCAGTAAGGAACAAATCAGTGTAATTTCAAGCAATGTTGTGTTGCTTGAAAGATGATTACTCGAGAATGTAGAAGGAAATGTTTCAAGAGCAAAACGAATATTCGATTGAGGTGCGGCCAATCGTTTTCCTCAAGGTTCAATGAAGAACTCGGTCGGAATACAGCACTGTTGGGAAGATGGTTCAATTTTGCAGAGTGGTGTTTTTCGTGAGCGACATTTTAGAACCCTTGACAGCGAGTCATTTTCTCAATGGCAACCTTTTCAAGAAAGGATGCAATTTTTTGGTTTTTCGTCCAGCTAAGAGCCAGAACTCCTTAGACTTTTTACGCACGATCCGTCATTTAACTTGTTTGGTGTAATTAGCAGACCTTAGCAACCGTCGCTGGTTGCGTCACAGAAAAACCTCTCGAGCATTTTCACTCGTGCGAAAATTTGAAGATCATCGTTCTTCTGTTTCTTTTCAAAAGATCAGACTTCATGTTCACCTGCACATGTGAGGCTTGTTCAGAGCACTGGCCGACAGTCCGCGAGTCCATGGAAAGACCACCCGCGTTCAGGTGTCCGTCTTGTCGCTCAGCCATGCCGGAAACGTCCAGCTGTCCGGAATGCGGAAGAGACTGCCAGCAAGAATTCTTCCTCCTCGCAAATAGTTGGGAACGGTTTCAAGTCGCCCGGGCGAAAATCGACGCACTCGAAATCACCGAGGCGGAATCCCAAGTCCTTCGTCACGTCGCTGCCGTCGACGCCGTGGTTCACCCGAGCAACATCGAACACGTCATGGCACTCGACACTTTCAAGCAGATCTGCATCCTGTCCGGCCGCGTCACCACGAAGAACTTTTGAATCGACTGTTTCGAAAAAAAAAAGGCAAAAAAGGGTTACATTTGTAGGCAACGCAGTCGCTCTCTTCTTTGTCAATTTTCTCTATCGAAGTTCTTTCAAGCAAACAGTTTTTTTCCATTCATTGTGCTCGTTTTCCGAAGACCTGCTCAACATTCTTTTTCGCCACACACGTTTCTAGCAAAAATTACGACACATAAAATTGCGAGGAAATCCAATCGCCTGAAAAATCCGTTCATGTAAAACCACGAGAGGCAGATGAATTATGATGATACACCACGAGATCGTCACCCAACATCGGAGAACAGCAATATCATATGGAAAAATATCTCTACACCGAAGATGTCATGCACACGCTGATTAGAGATGCAAGCATCGTAAAAGGCTTACGTCGCACGAAAAAAATACACTCAAGTTATTTTCCAACAGATATAATAAATTTGCAAAAACAAAAAATGCTGAAAAGCCGAATTCAACATTTGCTCGCTGGCTTTTTCTACTACTTAGGCCGCAATATTTCTGTCCGGTTAGCTTGCGGTCGAGCAGTATTTGCTTGTAGGCTATTTTGTCGGTTTCTGGACTCCATAGCTCTCGCAACATCGTTCTGGTACACTTTTCTTTCCTGTTCAAAAAAAAAAAAAGACGAAACGATGAGCACGAAAATCGTTGGCAGACAATATTTCAGGAGCTTACAAATGCGATTTGTGCCCGATCTTTTTGCAAAGCTTCGTGCTGCTTCTCTTGGATGTTGAGCAGCGCATCCAAGTGGGCTTCTTTAACACGCATTTTCCGCAGCATTGATTGAAGCAGCTCTGCGGTTTCGTCTTGCAAACGCTTTTCGTCTGTTTCGACGAGCAGCGAAGCTTTCATTGCCGCTAATGCTAGATACGTTGCTCCGGTGCACTGTAAAAATCATGATGTCCCTTAATTGATTGAAGTGAAGCTTTTTTTGAATGTTGAATCCATTCTAAATCCTTTCAGAATTTCAATCAACTTAAAAAAAATCACTATATCATCAGAGTCGGTTACTTAGTTTTGGCTAGTTTTGTTACCATCTTTGTAACAGCAGATAGCTTGAAAAAATCTGGATGAGGAAAGGTTTAGAAGTGAAGTGCCACATTCAATGTCAAGTACAGTACTGAAGTCTTAGTACAGCTGAACCTCAATAAGTCAAACCTTACTACGTTGCATTTTTGCAAATCCTTCTCTAAATTGTATGTAAAGGGAAGCCTAACTCAAAGGATTTCCTCCTCAAACCTCCTGAACTCGAATTTTCTGGAGGCCTTTTTGCTCATATTTTATTGTCACAGGAAAGAGAAAAGCAATAAAAATGCAACTTATGTGTTTTCCAAGGATAATTGTCAAAGCTGCAACCTGATCTGGGCTTGTGCTCCCAATGTGCAGCCAATGAGATACTTGTGCTGCAGATGAGCAGCCAATGAGCTACTTGTGCTGCCAATATTTCAATGTCATGTGGAAAATTATGGTAGAGTCCCAAATCCAAAATTTGAATGCTATTAGTTTTAGCTGATGTAATTACTGGTTTTCAAGGGTTCTTTGGGCATGAAATGATACTGTATTATCTTTTGTATTAAGGAAGGATGTTATTCCTGATTTGTTTGGGAGGGATGACCTCACCACTGTTCTACTTTGTTTAATTTGTGGTGAATTGGGAATTTCCCACAGCAAGGCATTTATATTTTATTTTTTGGCAACAGTAATGCCATGTTGGCAAGGCTGGAACATTTGAGTCAGGAATCTGAGCCTTGACTTCCCCTCCTTGAAAGAAACTGAGAAAGGAAGGGTCCCCAGGCAGCTGCTGACACTTGAGCTTGTTTTCCCCTTTGTTTCAAAAGCTGTTGAGGGGATCTGGTTTACTGTCCTCGGTGGAAACTTCCACCCCCTTTTTCTTGACTCAGGATTTCCCCCTGGTTTAGAACCAGTCATCTCTGAGTTCTGTTTTGGGAAGGGTGTTCTTGAGTTGCTCCTCAAATTTGGGGAATGTATTTTGCTGTATATTTTGACTGTCCTGTTTGCATTCTCACCATATATTTGTCAATTGTATTACAGGCAAACTGTTTGCACATGTGCTTGATTAAATCTTGAAATAAGCTCTTAAGCTTATTTTCTGTTGGAAACTGTAAAATTCACCACTGTACTGTGAATAAAACTTGTGGATAGCAAATTCTCTGGAGTTTGTTCTATTCTCCACACTAGTCAGCTTCTGCAGAAAATGAGCAGCAACTTTGTGTGGGTCTTGCCCATACCATCACATAACTGATGTCCCTGGTCCTCTGGTCTGAACTACTTGACCTGACCACTTCCACAATTATCCATCCTACTCAAGCATCCACTCAGTGACCTAGCTGAGGGCACCCATCTTAAAATTTGGAGTTGCATGACCTTAGCTTACAATTGTCTGTAGCCACCAGTCTAGGAACAACAGATAACTGAGTCAGTGACAAGCCAGAACTCCTTTGAAATTTGACACCCAACCTGTCATGTAACTTGTCTGGTGTAATCAGCAAACCTTATGGCGGATTGTAAATAGCATCATTAAGCTCTTTCCACAGATTTTTGATTGAAAGAACTAATTGACTTAAGTTGAAATTTTAATGCCTTCAAATAAGGACATTTCTAATGGATTGTTTCAGAGGCAATTCAGAGAGGCACCTGAAACAAATTTGATTCAGGGAGGTATTCAAGTTATCCAGGTTCAATTGTACTGAAATGAGAAATCTTGTCATGCTTGTCCTCAACTACGGAAGTGAAATCCAACCATTTTCTTTTTGGGAATAAAAGGCGCCATTCGGTAATTGGAGCCATTATGAAGACAAACTGAACCAAAAAATAATAATTGGCAAATGAACCCTTACCCCCAAGTTCAGCATCCACCGAACTCTTCCAATAAGCTATTCAAGGCCCAGACTATCACCCATTGCAATTTTGTGTAGTTATTTCTTTCCCTAAAAAAAAAATGCTTGCTTTCCTAACTCGAAAGCTCCCTAACTTGTATTTTTTTACTGGTCTGTTGAGCGTTGAAGTTTGACTGCATATCATTAATAACTTCAACTTACAGCCGAATATTCCACAATAGATGGTAAGTTGAAAAAATCTGGAAAGAAGCCTCACCTGCAGCAAGCATGCTTGAGCATAGTCTTCATCCCCGACCCCATCCATTTTGGCTCTGAGTTCATCTTGTTGCACACCCTGCTTTGTAATCATATCGTATCACCTGAACAAAAGCTCAACGAAATTGCGAACAAGTTACGTTACCTTGAGCGCAGCAAACTCTGCCATGGCTGCGTTAGACGCCGCACTCACAACTTGTTTCGGCATAACACTGAGAAACTGCTCAACTGTCTTGAACAAATCCTCGGTTACCGATTCTTTGATCACCGCATCGCCACTCGCATCCGCGTCATCCTCTTCCGTACAGTCCAGTGGTAATTGGAGAAATTTGGCAACGCATTCCGATACTGAACGATCTCCGACATGCTTGGCAATCTAGAAATGTTTCCGGAGTACGTTTATAAGTTGAAGAAATGCCGATTTTTTAATGACGAATCCTGTACATTTAAAAAGTCAAGTATTCACTGCACCAAGAGAATCATTAGCAGTGATGCGAGTTGGATACAGTGAAATCTCATTACAAAACGTATTCAGTACAACACAACTTTTCTCAAGACCCAAAAGAAAGTCCGTAGAGTACGGTTTAGAACAATCTCGTTCTAACAAACTTCTGAACTCCATTCATAAAAAACATTTTTGAGTAATACTGTATTTAATAGGTTCGTTCTCCAGGCAGAAATTTCTTGACTGATGCGGAAAAAGTCTGATCCCAAATCCAACAGACTGGTTCTTACAGCATGGATAAAAGCTGTAATCAATGACAAACATGCTGTCAAGTGGCTCCACACATCATTCTCCCACAATGAAGAGACCGATACAACTGATGGAATTTGATTGAAGCTAAATTTTTTTTTCTTCAGAAAATCACTGTTTTTCAAACAATAAAAAATCAGAAATTGTGTCAGAAAAGCAAGATCTAAATGATCACAGACAGGTCCGATGTGAACGTTCTTTCCAGTCATTAATTTTGAAAATCTCGGTATAACAGTCATGAAAAGTTTCTTGCAACAAGATTTTACCGTCTCATCAAAGGTACGCATCAGAAGATGAGGCATAAAAACTGAAAATTTAGGCGCTGTTTGACGACATTAAATTCAGCTGTATCTCCAAAATACAAAAGTAAAAAATCGTGGGCAAGATTTTTTCTCAAGAAAATCACGATTGTTGATTTTTGCTCCGTCGCAGAAAAACCTAAATGTACAATAAAAGGAATGCCTATTGTTGGGGAAAATGTCACCTGCTCCCAGTCCTGTCCATGGGCTTCGAGACCTTCCAGCAATAACAGAACTTCTTGATCGCTCCAATCCCGAATAACTTGACTCGCCGAGGACTGAGTTGCCGAAGACTCTAATGATGGCACTACCCCTACTCCGAGTCGTCCGTATTGATCTGTGCTTAATTCAAGATTCATCTTCGCTATCAAACTCGAATGCTTCTCCAAGTGATTCGCCGGTTGCAAGTTGGAAGAAAATTTCAGTAGTTCTTGATCTCTGCAAGATGTACAAATTTTATTTATTTTTTCATTTTTTTTTTTTTTGGTGAGTGACTTCAACAAAAGTTATGATCAGACAATGAAAATGAATCAACTTACACTTGAGGCACGACAGCGTCCTTATTACTGCCCGTAGAGTGCTCCGAAACGTTATCGTCTTCTTCCATTCCACCAAGTTCTTTTACTCGTCGCTTCATTTCTTCTTCGTCGACTTTCTTGTAAAGAGTTCCAGGAATGAAACCAGCCCGAACGAAATCCCCTTTCCTCGATTCCTCTTCTTCGTCGTCTTCTCCATCACTGCCAACATCGCTCAATGTTGTAACGTCGAAAAGTTGCTGCTGACCATCCTCTTCCTTCTTCCTCTCTCGCGTCTTCATCCCGCTGCTTCTCAACGTATCGACGACTTTGAAATGCGAAGAAGATGGAGTCGCCAAGTTGATGCTCGAGGATCCCGTGTTTTGCGAATTATTTGCTAAGTTCCCGGGACCCGAACCCGTGTTCGAGTCTTCCCACGACGCTTCGCACTGGTAATTGATCAAGCCCCATCGCTCCAAGAACGCGTGGATTCGAAGCAACCCACAAACGTCTCCACAGAGATTCCTTCGGGCAGCTGTAGGAGTCAGGTATTCGATGGGATTCAGTCGATACGTGTCAATCATGTAGTTGCGAGCAATTTTGTACGTGTCCTCAGTTTTCATCGGATTAACTTTGTTGAAGTATTCGGGAATGTGGTGGCGCTCGGTCGGCCTTTAACTTAATATCAGCTTGGTCCGACGTTTTGAGCCCTAGTGTTACTACCTAAGAACTAGATGCTCGTGAAGGCCGTTTCCTAGCTAAAGTTGACCGCCTCCATCTTAAACCCGAACACCTTGGGCGGTTTCCTCTTCGATTTTCGGCTTTACCTAAAAAACACCAGGAGCAAATTCAAGTCATAAAACTGGAATAATCATAAGAATGCATAACATCAGTCATCACGCTTCACACGAAAAATCTGGTACAACGCATGAAACGATGTTGGTGGTGCACGGAATCACGAAAATGACAATTAGCGGTGAAATTAAGGGACAAAGAAAAAATATGATTCAACTGCTACAGTTTAACCTTGATAGCTTGAACCTCCTCAAAGTCGAAAAACCCCTATGTCAAGTTTTAAGTCTCAGTCTGAATTCCCATAAAAAAGGCATTAAAACCTTCCAAACTCAAAGACTTTCCATCTGAAACCTCAGTAACTCGGATTTTCTGGAGGCATTTGGGCTAATATTTTATTGACACAAGAAAGAGAGAAGCTATAAAAATGTAACTTGATGCGTTTGGAAAGGAAGTGAAAGACGAATTGGGCAAATGAACTCTTGCCTCAAAGT